AGTTTTCATGCGTACGTTAAATTTTATGTCGTGGTTTATATCTTTTATTGTTGTAGGTAGAAAAGCGTTTTGTCATATATACAAGTGAAGTCATGGTATATGTGTACAGCTGGACAAGTCAACTATAAATAGCTACTTCGAAAAAGGAAGTTAAAAAATGAAAAGAAATCTAAAACCGGGCCGGGAAAATTAAATTTTAATTTCAAGAAAAATGAAAAAAATAAAAAAAGATAAAAAACATAAAGTATAAAATAGTATATGGCTAATCTCTCTCATAAACTATGTTTAAGATAGAAATTAGAAAAGAGGGAATGGATTTAAGAAAGAGAAGGGTATAACGGTGAATTCACCTCCACACTTGTAGCCGACGGGCCTGTCGGTGAGGTTACAGCGCTTGGGAATGGTGACGGCGATTTCAGGTTTGACTCCGGCGGCCTTCGCCATATTGGACAGCAGAACGGCGCACAGGCATTTAGGGTTCTGTCCGATTTTCTTCACCTGAGCGCAGCAGCCGCCCGAGACGGCGGAGTTAGGGTCCTGCACGGCCGATGCACACGGAATAAGCTTCTATCCGAACAGATCTCGAGTCGAATTCGGACATTCTCCGGCGGCGTTCGCTCCGTTCAACGTAAAGATACCTACGAGAACAAAGACGACAAAAACTATGCAAGAAAAACACTTCTTAAATGGTGCTGCTTCCATTATTAATCTCTGATATGTATTTAATTCTTGTTATTTTGTGATGCATGATGAAATCAATGAAGTGAGGGAGTTCTTTTTATAGTGATCTTCTTTTAGTGCTGAATTATTGTGCATGCCTGACTCGAAATGCATTAGGGTTTACAAAGTGGGTTGAGCACCTATTTTTATGGTCGACGTTAGATGCAGGTAAACTTGGTTATATTACACTGAGTGTATTTGAATCGTTGATTTGATTAGATAACTATCCAAGTACTCATATTAAATATTTGTGTACGTGTGTGTGTGATATATGTGTAGATTCAGGAGCGAACCCAAGGTATGTCTTGGGGGGCCTGCCCTGTAGGAATTTTTGTTTACCTATTTTCTGTTATTATTTTTTAATATTTTGTAATATTTATCTATTAGTTTATGCACTTTAACCTTAAAAGTTAAAATTTTATACCATTTAGCTCATAAAAATATTCTAGCCCCCCACCCAAAATCCCCTGCATCTGCCCCTATATAGATCTATAGTTAAAATCCACCCAATATAATTAACGAGGCGTAGTATCTAATTTCCGCAGTTTTTGTGGTGGAATGTTCTTGTTGCTTAATTTTCAAATGCAAGAGAGTTAATATAATATATGGAGTAATTAAGTTGTTGATTATTTATGTTTTCCATGGTGTTGTAGGAAAAATGATCATAGCCGCGTGCCGACCTATGATAATGTTATTTTATTGCTAGTGGGGAGAAAAGGCCAAATATATGTGCAATATTTTTGTGAGTGTTAGTGGATTTTGATATTATAAATTTTACTAGAATTGCGATTTCTTTTTTAATGTACAAAACAATTGCTCCTATTCTAAAGGAGTTATAAATCACAATATTATTTTATTGTTTTTTATTATTTAATTGTCAAGGGAATTAATCAAACAGCAAAAAAAAAAAAACTAAAATTGTGTTTGATTTGGTCAAGTTAGTATAATTTTAATTTTTTGAAGAAAAATTCCGTATATAATTAATTGGATTGGATTTAAAGTTGGGACTAAACTATTATTAATTTACTTTGATTTCATAACCTTTGGATAAATAATGAACTAATAAAACTAAAAAGATTTTTTTCTTTTTTAAATTATACAAAAAAGAGTCATGATTTTGGGCCCTAAAAATTAAGGCCCAATAGCAGAGGGTTAGTTGTGGATTAAAATCTGTAGTGCGCTGCATTAGTGTCGATCACGCGACATCCTAGCAAAATTTAAAGCATCTTTGCCAAATAGGCTACCGAAACTTCTAAAAAAGTATATGTTTATTAATTAATATTGTTTAATATTTAAACATTGATAGCCGCGAAATCACGATATTTTAGGAGGCCCAATGCGGCGGCCTGCTTATCATGGGCTTGGGCCGGACCTGATTCGTATGTATGCAATCTTATATATAAAAGAAAGAAACGTTGGGCAGCCCTAAAAAAAATCATACTAGTATTTCTGTAATCATTTATTTTTAATATTCTTTATCTACTAATTTCTAACTATAACTTTTAACAATTATCAAAATTAAAACTAATTTGTGAAAAATTCTACCTTATTGCTACTTATGTAATTATTTATTTTTAATATTTTTTCTGTACTAATTTTTTAACAATAATTTCAACAATAATTGATCTCCTAATTTTCATCAATATATCTCAAATATTAAGAGATAAAGCTAGAAATTCAATATATATAACACTACATTATTAAATTTTATTATATTAGTGTACTATATTTTCTTATTATGTATTAAATTGATTATTTCTTTTACTATTTAAATAATATTAATTAATATTAAAGATCAACTAGTAATTGTACCCGTGCAATGCACGAGACAACAAATTGCATTGTTTTGATGTTGTAAGAATATAAATAAATGTTTGATGCAACGTATAATCCAAATTCTGTTATAACCATTCGTTAATAAATCATCGGTGGAACATTACTAACTATACTACACACACACAAAAAAAAAAAAAAGCGAACAACTTTACTGTTGATTAATTTTCCAAATGAATTGAATCAGCTGATACCAGTAGATTGAAAAATTGAACCAGGAACAAAATCATCAATTATGTCTTTCATGTTGAGCTTAAAAGTAATTAGATTTAATAACTTAGTTAACATAATCAAAACTAAATTATTGACAACATACCAACGTAAAAGGCCATCTATACATCGTGCATCGTAATTAAGCCCTTCTCAACTGGCTCGCTTGGGTCCTGTTTTGCCACTGGAATTAACAATTGAAAAATTAAGAAACAAAAATAAATATAAACAATAAATTAAATATCGCATACAAACAATAAGTCTTGAATGCCGACTTTCAATAGCTTGTGGCTCCGCCCATTTTTGCTTAGTTATCTCCAATCACCCATTTCAATAACATGTCCAATAACATCTAAAAGGAAATAATTGTTATACACAAAATTTGGAATCTTTGGTATAAATTAACGAAACACATAATTTAACAAAACGAAATTACCTATAAGCCATGATGGAAAAAGATGCAAACTAATTACCATACATTCAATAGGATGAAGAACAAAATAAGACAAAAATTCTAAAGTCGAGTTACCAAAAGAAGAAGCCTTAGGTAGGATGAAGAAATAAAAATTTAAATGTTGCAGACATTCTGTAAAACGGTGTCAAAAAATCTGCTAGGAATGAAAATCAGATTTATTTACCTTTTTTATGTAAATATCGAAAATCAAATTTATTATGAACTATGAAGAGAAAACAAATTGCAAAATATCTAACCTTTTATGAAGCCACAAACATTTCGTAGAAACGGGGAAAGATAAAACTGGGGTGGAGAAGTTGAGAGGTGGGATATAAATAAGAAGATAAAACACAAAAAACACAAACGTGTTGAAGTAGAAGAGAAAAGTTAAAAGTGTTGAGAGTCTTAAGGAAAATTTTTAGGAATCGTTCATCTTTGGGAATATGATAATTAGTATTTTATCATCAAAAAGTAATATTTAGTGTTGAGATGTTTATGGCTGAAAATTAGGAGATAAAATAATATTTAGGAGATTTAATTGGTTGTGCCTTAGAGATATTTATGGCTGAAAATATGAGTGATTGGACTGGTTCGGGGATAAAAAAATTGATAAAAATCGAAAATAAAATTTAGGAGATAAAAATCTGATAAAAAATCGAGAATAATATTTAGGATATAAAATTTGATAAAAAACGAAAAAAATATTTAAAAAAAATATTCAGGAGATAAAAAATTGATAAAAAAAATCAAAAAATTATACTTGGGAGATATAAATCTGATAGAAGTCGAAAATAATATTTAGGAGATAAAAGTTTGATAAAAATCGAAAATAATATTGAAAATAATATTTAAAATAATGTTAATGAGATAAAATTTGATAAAATACGAAAACAATAATTAAAAATAACATTTATGAGATAAAAATTTGATAATTATCAAATATGATATATTAAAATAATATTTAGGAGATAAAAATTTGATAAAAATCGAAAATAATATTTTAAACAATATTTAGGAGATAAAATTTTGATAAAAATCGAAAATAATATTTAGGAGAGAAAAATCTGATAAAATCGACAATAATATTTAGGACATAAAAATCTTATAAAAATCTGATAAAACTCGAAAAAAATATTTAAAATAATATTTAGGAGATATAAATTTGATAAAATTCGAAAATAATATTTAGGAGATAAAAATTTGATAAAAATTGAAAATATTGTTTAAAATAATATTTAGGAGATAATAATCTGATAAAAATGAAAATAATATTTAGCAGATAAAAATCTGCTAAAAATCGAAAATAATATTTAAAATTATATCTAGGAGATATAAATTTGATAAAATTCGAAAATATTATTTAAAAAAATATTTAAGAGATAAAAATTTGATCAAAATCAAAATAATATTTGGGAGATAATAATCTGATGAATATCGAAAATAATATTTAGGAGATAAAAATCTAAAATAATATTTAAAATAACCTTTAGGAGATATTAATCTGATAAAATTCGAAAATAATATTTAAAATAATATTTAGGAGATAAAAGTTTAATTAAAATCGAAAATAATAAAAAAATATAAATATGACATTAGAGTTTTTTAGGGTTACCCTGCGTTTCTTCTTTTTATATATAAAATGTGCAATGCGCGAGCAATATATG